GAACATCATTTTTCATCATTTGGACATCATCCCCCAACGATGCCTGTGTGTCCATTACCTCTTGGACATTAATTTGTAGAGTTTCTATCTTTCCAATGGCGTGTCCCTCCAACGCCTCGAAGGAGCTTTCAAGAGATTGGACCCGATCACCCATATTTGAGATGATTTGGTCAAGTTTCCCTTCCATGTTGGTAGTTTCCCTCACCTTACTTTTACCTCTAGTTTTCCTTACTTCAGTTTGGGCAGCACCTCGACCCCTCTCCTCAATCTCAATATCAACAGTTTTTTTTTTTTTCTGTATAAATGAAAGGAAAAACTTTACAATCTCTCTCATGAATAAACTCACTCAACTCTACATTCTCTACCATCTACTACCTTTACTACATACCATTTACAAATGACACTACACCTCAATTTATAGGAAAATTTAAACCTCCTTAACATTCCACTTTACAACTCTTGCTTAGTTGTCGCCACCTCGTGCTTAGTTGTCGCTAACTCATTCTTAGTTGTCTTCAAGTGGATTGTCTTACAACTTGCCTTGCAAGTTGTCGCCAACTCATGCTGAACTTGCATATAACTCACGCTTAGCTTGCATCATTGATATTTATCCTTGCCAACTCGTGCTTAGCTTGCATACAACTCGCGCTTAGCTTGCAAGTGGCACAAGTGGACAAGTTGTGCAAGTTACCCATTTGCATCCTCAGAATATCCCGCTGCAGGTCCATGTATTTTTCCTCCCAAAATGGCTGGGTTGGGACTTAGAAAAACCTCATTAACGCCCTGGAAAACTGCATAATTTAGGTAGCCTGCATTCTGCCCCAAAACAATCTACTTGCGTCCCCAGCCTGAATCTGCCTGCGTCCCTTGCCCAATCTGCCTACGTCCCCTATCGCAAGCTGTTCCGTCCTTTTGAAACTCGTTACCCACGTTATCTTTCGATCGCTATCGGGACGGATCGAACGCGACCGCGTGGCGTAAGTTACTCCCCCACTGAACTTGGCGACGCCCTCATCGCCATATACCGTCGAAGCTTAGACCTTATTTGCCATAAGTCTATCTCATTTTCCCACCTTGTGTCATGACATTCCCGTGTCATGCCAAGCCTTAAGTCATGATCTTGCGATCCGTGACACCACGCCGAATAAAAAATCTTGAATCCCCTTATTGTGTACATGTACACAATCGAGATTGTCAACCCCGATTGTACAATTAGAATAATTCTTGTTCTAAAATTTGACAAAATGTTAAACTGTTAAGAGGTAAATAATTAAATATTAAAAGTTTAATGGGATTTCACATAGTGGAATCATAGGTCCAAGTTATTTACCGTAAACATGTACATGTACACGAACACATTATACATGTAAATTTTTCCAGGGTCAGTGAACTTTCAATGAAAACATCAATTAGATCAATAATTTTTTATATATCCCAATTGAATTACTAAATTTCAATCTAGTTATGTTCTAATGTATATATATTTGGTTTAGCAACAACTTCGTACATTTTTCGTCATAATCACTTGGAGAATTAAGTACTATCCATATTGCCACTGTATTATATATACTTTGAAAAATTATGATAATTACGAATATTTTCTCATTATAATACTACAATGGCAGTAAGACACAATCGGACGTGGTATTAGTCACAATAGAGAAACAAGAGACTGTTCTAACTTGATAAAATTAGGGAAATTATTAATATAGAGTTCTCTTTAAATTTATTGAAAATAAAATTTAGTCTATTTTTGCTTTACAAAGAAAAAACAAAATGTCACTCTTATTTGTTGTATGATCCACTATTTTCAAACTGCCCATATTTTCTCGCTCTTTAATTATTTGGTCAGATTTTCAACAATTTAGTATTAGAACTATTCATCTTCCAACAAAGTGATTTTAGATCTGGTCCAAATTATAGCAATATCTTTCATTGTCGCCTTCAAACTCATACAATTGGCAATATCATGGTCATTAGAGCAATACTACTTGCAGTATTTTGCTTTTTGGAAAGGATTCTCGGGTTGCCTGAATGCAGGTGAGAACCCTCGCACGATCCTCCAGGATTCATAGCATTCACCTCAATTGTGTAATAGCTATGTTGCAACCAATCCTTTCAATGAGTACTAATTTTGACACAAGAATCAACTGTTGGAGGGTAGAAACAACTTGAAAACCCAAAAATTAAGATAGAGATCCGAGATCTTTGATGGAAAAGTAGAGGTGTGTTGAGAAATGAAGTGATCAAAAATTTCCAGAGCATTGCATGTGACAACAAGATCATCCACATACACGAGAATTTATAGAATAAAACAATTGTTATAAACAACGAAAAAAATGCAGGATGATTTCAATAACAATTTGTTGGAGGAAATACGAGATTATAGGCATAATATGAAATAAAGATGACAAAAATGCAAGAACGATATAATTTGCAGAGAATGAAAATTTTTTATATGGAGAAAAATATAAGGATTTTGTGTTTATAATATTTATAACTTCTTCTAAGTAATAATGAAGAGCCAACTATATTTAGAGAACAAATAGGGGATGCTCAAAATCTAATAGTAGTGTTATAGATGGAAAAGAATGTTCCAAATGCAAAAAGGGGACTTGGGCCAGATGAGCCACCACTTGAGCATCAAGCAGACACCAACTCTGCACAAAATTTAGACGGCATTGCTTGAGCGGAAAGCTAGCAGCCAACTAGCGAAAAAGTGCCGAAAATATTTTCTTATTCCATATCTTTACCTCTTCAAATTCAACACAAATTTCAACTCTCCATTAGACTTCCAAATAGAAATTCAACTAGAATTTACCAAATAAATTTCATGTAGGATTCCAAATAACATTTCAAATAGAATTGGAGTTACACCCTAATTCTAACAATAATCGTGGTTAATAAATAAAGAAAGAAGTGCAAAAAATAGATTTCGCAAAACCAGAGATAAACAGAAAATTGAAAAGTTCAGTATTCACAAGATGGCTTTGTTTTAGACCATAGATGACAACTCAATTTCAGATTAGGGGTCAACCACAAAGACGATGACTCAAGCTCAGGGACAGAGCCAGGAATTAATGTTACGAGGGGCAAAACTTTAGAAATTTAATATACGAATAAAATTCATAAATAACAAAAAAGGTCATAATATAATATTATCAGTTACAGTTGTACTCGACGATACTTTATAGCATAAAATTCATCAATAATAGAATCCAAATCTAAATTCAAAGAAAATTCTCGTTCAATGTAAAGTGTCATACAATCAGCAAGAAAACCATCATCCATTTTGCTACGAATTTCCGTCTTCACATGTTTCATTGCAAAAAATGCAAGCTCCACAATAGCCATTGAAATAGGCAGTGTCAATATTAGACGAATCAATTTAGTCAAATTGATGTAACTCTCCGATCTTCTACTTGCAACCAATTCTTGACATAAATCAGAAAGTGTAGATACTTGAAATCGAGGCTCAGAAATCACATCATGTTGATAATGTTGCAACTCAACTTTCAAACTATAAATATCTTGTTGTGTAAAATTTTGAGCATAAAATTTCTCTGCAAACTTGCAAATATTATCCATGTTAAATCATTCAAAAGAATTTTTCGAATCCAATGCCACATCGAGAAAAAAGAGTTCTAATGATGTCTTATTAAATCTTGTATCTAATTCCGTCATCAGAAGATCTATGGCTGCATTAAAAATATCGAAGTGGTAATGATGTTCGAAGGTAGGATACTCAAGACCACGAGAACGACCAACCATGTATGAACCATGAAAGTCAGGTATATGTATATCATTTTTTGAACAAAATCAATTCACCTCTTCAAGAAATTCTTCCCAGCTATCTTCCCTCAATTCTTGAATGATGGCTTTTGTAGCATGGACAAATCTCATAGCAGTTAAGATGTCTTGAGTTTTTTTTTCTGAAGGGCTTGACAAAACACATCTATGATTGCTAACATTCTGCGCATTAAATGCAAAATAAATACAAATTCAAATGTTGTCAATTTTTTGTATACACCACCCACTTCAGACCGAGTTCTTACATTTGGATAATGATCACTAAGATACTTAGGCACCTTGCAAGTTGCACCATACATATCAATCAAACTCTTTGCAGAGTTGTAACGAGAAGACCAACGAGTACCTCCAGCTCATTGCAAGTTACCAATTTGATTAGCCCCACTTCCAGTCTTTCGTTCTCCAGTTTCCAACAAATGTTCAATTTCCTTTTCTTTTTTTGTTTTGGAGCTTTTCAACTCATTGATGCGTTTAGGAGATGATGTAATCATATTAATAACATTGTCCAAATCTGAAAAGAATGAATTAATATCTGCGACATCCCTAGCTGCTGAAACCAACGTGAGTTGTAAACGATGGGCAAAACAATGGACATAATATGCATATGGACAATCTCTAAGAAATAATGCTTGTTGTCCATTCCAAGCACCACGCATGTTATTAGCATCATCATACCTTTGACCTCTCATGTTTTGTACTTGAAGGTTGAAACGAACAAGAGCATCAGAAATTTGATTCTTAAGATTCAACGATGTAGTGTCACTAACACTTTTGATTGCAAAAAAATGCTCTGTCAAAATTCCATTACCATTCACAAATCTCAAGATAATAGTCATTTGTTCTTGTGAAGATGCATCTCGAGCTTCATCAACAAGAATACTAAACTTTGCATCCCCAATTTCTTTACGAATTCTTTGTCTTACACTGTTAGCCATAATGCTCAAAATCTCTTTTTGAATGTCTAGAGATGTGTATGTAGCATTTTTTGGAGCATTACCCAACACAACTTCTCCTATTTTTGTATTCATTTTCCAAATGCATCTACCATTTCAAGAAACGATTCAGTGAAGATGGAGATTCATCATTGCCTCTAAATGAACAACTTTGAAGTGCTAGCCACCGAACACTCATAATTGTGGTCATTGGACGCAATTTTTCTGTTTTTCCTCACTTGATACATCATGCATTACCTAGTCAATATAATGAGTTGGTTTCATTAGATCTTCAACTCTTCTCTTATAGCCGTTATGATATGATGAAGATGTTGTACCAATATGAACAAGAAATGCACATTTACTTCCCTGACCAACCCTCTTCCAACTATCAAATCCAACAGCAACCAATGATGAAATATTAGGCGGAACATTTTCATTGAGAAAAAGAAAGCAGAAAAAGCAATATGCTTTATGTGTTGAAGGCGAATGCTCCAACCAAGAATACTGATTGTACCGATGCTCTTGAAATCAACGTTTCTGTTTTCCAAATTCTTTGCCTTGATACTCCAAAAATTTTGGTTGATAAGGCCCAGCTTTTAAATAGGCACGCCTAATTTGATTACGTTCATTAAACGAATATTCATATATTTGCTTTCTTTTTCCTGGGTCTCGTTCTATAGAATCAGATGGTTCTAACTCAACATTGAAAGATGAAGACCATTCAATTTCAGGAGATGCAATTGGAGGATTGGGTACCGTAGGAGTTGGAGTAGCAATTGGAGGATTGGGTACCGTAGGAGTTGAAGCACCCTTAGATTTGTCGCTCTTTGTAAAGAAAGATAATAAGGTCCTTCCTTTCTTGGCAAGAGGTCAATTTGGTTCCATATTAAAATCTAAAAGCATAAAAAAATCAAAACACTTCAGTATCCCAACAATCCAAAAACAATCCACTAGCAACATTTTAACCACTTATCTAACCTTTCAAAAATATTATAACTAGTTAAAAATTCAACACCAAATCTAAGAATTATCATAAACTCATATCCAGATCCAAATATCGTATTAAACATAAGTATACATAAATGGCAGAAGATAATTATAAAAGATTAATAACTTACAAGAAAAGGTATTGGCTTCACTAGACAAGTGGTTCAACTAGCCTCAATATACTGCTATTGCATTGTGGAACAAGAAATTGTGATTTTATAAACACGTGTTTGTAGTTAACAGAAAAGAACAAACAACTGCTTTGGTGTGTATTGGCCGTGTCATAGCACGATGCTTCATGAAAAAGCTAAGAAAAAAATAAAAGCTAATAACCAAATATCAAAGTAACTACAAAATAGACCAAGAACTACTTGAACACATAAACGCTAAGAAAGAACAATCAATGATCAAAATACACTAAGATGGCCACAGCTTTAAACGTCAACACTGCAAAGATTTCACATACCCAGGATACCCCCATAACTCAAAAGATAGTAGCCATTTTAGAACTTCAACCTTGGAATCCAGTGGGTCTATTGAGCTTTAGATGAAATCAATTGCTCGATTGAACATTTTGAGCTATAATAACATGTTGAGCTATATGAAGATAATACATTTTATTCAATTATATTTAACTTTAGTATTCAACAAATAACTCCTAAAGTTGATTAAAAGCTAGCCATTTATGTAGAATAGAAAAAGAGATTATTTATGGTTTGGAATGAGCATATCAAATATCCTGGTTGTTAGCCAAATAGACTATTTTAACCAACTCATATATGATAAAATACTGCAATATTTACAGAGAGAAGAAAATCTAGACTCTAATCGACTATGAGTTGTACCAAACACTTTAAGTACAAACTAAATTTAAAACTACCCAAAAAATAAAAAAACAAAAAATAAAATCTTCGTGGGATTTTAGAATTTATCAAGAACCCTTACGCTCCCTCATATATTGCAAATGCAAGAGTCTAATAAGATTGTAAAAATCTGAAATTGATCAACCCCATGTAAAATTACAACAACTCATGCAGTCAAACGTTATAAAAATTAAATATAAATAAAATTATGGATTGTTGAAAATACTTACATATGTATTAAGCTGTCGAATGAAGCTGGAAAAATTGTTGTGCTTGAAGTACCTAGGCAGCAGAATAGTGGAAAATTTGTGAAAATCCCAAACAATAAAACTGTTTCCGGCCGTATTCCATGAGATCACTGAATCTGTTGAAAACGATCTCCTTTGAGATGATAATTAGCGAAAAGAATATAAAGGTTGGGAATTAACCTATTAGGGTTATTCAAATATTTGGGAATTTTGTTTTCAAAATTTTCAATAAAAATGACAGAGACCGAGAGAGAGAGAGAGAGATGCGTAAATCTGGGCAGTAGGGCAGGTGGAATGAAAGTGAATGATATATGTTCATTTTGTTGTATAATTGGGTGTTGGGCAATGGGCTATTGTCTATTGGATATTAAAATAAAATTTTGGGCCAGGTTGAATTTACAAAATGGGTCGGTTAATGGACTAAAACTAAAAATTTTCTAGCATTTTTTTGGGCTTGTAATGGACATGGGCTTTGGCAGCCCTCCTTCACTCCGTCTCTGCTCAAGCTTGTACCTTTTCAAATAGGCATTTATAAGGTGCTCTTTTGGTTAATTCCTATAGGCTGGGAGTTTTAGGTTTGGCAATTCCCTAGTTCATTCGTCCCTTGTTTCTCCTTACTAGGATTTCCCAGGGGATGTCCTAGAAACTATCACCATTAACCTCTTGAGTGTTTTCTAAATCTTTGGACTTAATCTCCTCGCTAAAGTCAAAATTCGATGAGTCATCAACCTGGATGCTAGCTTCATTCTCTCTCCGCATTCAACTTCTCTAGCCTCCAACTTGAATCACTTCCTTACCATACTATAATAAAAAGGAAGATATTTGTGTTAAAAGGTCAACCTGTAAGTGTTATGCCCTAAATCCAATCAACTTTGGACATAAATACTTTTAATGTATAATTAATGCAATTTAATGACAGATCTATTATTTAATTAATCGACAATTGAATTAAATAATAGAGTCCATAGATTCAAATCTTCTAAATTTATTAATCACAAGGAGTTGTAATTGTAAGATACAAATTACATATGATTGAATCTTAAATCGTCCGTGATCGTAAGTAATAATAAGATACATATATCGTTATTATGCATAGACCATCACATGTGGCATTTCTTACTTGTGAAGTAAGTAACTAATCTCACAAGCTAAAGAGTAGTAACACTTGAATGAACACGTAGATGTTTTGTTATAAAACAAAACATTGGAGACCCTCTGACAGATTTCACATAGATAACTATCTGAGTGTCAGTGGTTAATTTCTAATATTCGCTAGTGGGATTGGTCTTTTAACTTGAGGTCATCATGATACCTTATATGAGGATAGTCATACTTTGACGGTGTTGGAAGTTGTTCTGCCAAGGGCCGCTAATACGGTATCGTTCGGGCATGTCAAGAATCGTATGAATGTTGTGAATAATCAATGGAGGATTCGTCACTCTTAGATAGTAAGAGATTATGATCTGCATTTCATTCAATTAAGTCGATAATAAAATCTTTGATCAAGGTGTACTCATAGGTCGAAAAGGAGTTTTCGACTTATATTGACTTGATAGTGGAGTGAAAGATATTATCGATAATCGAGATTGACACACTTTCATATCTCGTAATTGATCGGATCATATTGACGAAAGGATTATAGTTTTACGGTAAACGAACGAATTTGATTTTGTCATACCACATGACATTTCTCGTCACATGTATTGCCCTGACACATTACTAGATGTCAATCTGGGACGGCGAGTGTGAATTGGTGATAAATTAAAATGGTGTTTTAACTTATTAGTTTTGATTAGATCAAAATTATATTTCACTTTGTTAGATATCGTGATCGGGAACCTGATGAGCCACACACAAAAGGAGAACTAGAAGATTGTGATTTGTCAATTAATTACTTTAACATACGTTGGATAAATTAATCAATTAGGTTACTTATTTATAGGCCTGAATTAATTAATTTGAATAGGATTTTCAAAATTTGTAGAGAATTCATTATTCTTACTAACACAAGAACAAAACACTGATCCTACAATCTTGTTCTCTGTGTGGATCAACATTGAAGGATGGACAATTGGACAGCTGTGGATAAGGAACCAAGATCGTTGGAGCGAAAGAATAGTAAAGAAGTTGGCGGATCTCATAAAAGGTATAATATTTATCACAATTTCTATCTAACCACAAAGACGATTCCTGGTGGAAATTGAAATTTTTTTTTTGTTGTAAAGAGATTCCTAACAGTGGTATCAAAGCATAGTTTGTGGTTTTTAGAAATTGTTTTACATCTTTGAACAATTAAAAGTTAATTGTTTTTCTTGTTTCTGGTAATTAAGAAAAATTAATTCTATTTTCAAAAAAAAATTTGGATAGAAAATAATCTTTTGGTTCTGAAATAAATAAAAAAATAAAAAAAATGAGTTGATCTTGGCTGTAATAGTCGACGCTGACCGAAAAGGGCTCAACGCGACTACCATGGCTTGCAGCCTGAAGCAGCGTTGGACGCCGCTCACATCACAGCGGCATCCATGCCGCTAATTGCTGTAATTTGCCGCTGCTAAATTGAACAGCGCACGACGCTGCTGCTACCAGTATAATTGCTTGCGGCGCCTGGATGAGGGGCGCTGCCGTCACTCTATTGTGGCGCCGACAAGAAGAAGGAAAGGGTGGAAGTTCTAAGTTTTCATTTGGGTGATATTTTAGGGTTTTCTGTTAGTTGTTGGAGATGGGGGTTTCTCTGCAATTACTGTAATTGTGGGGGGACATCTGCAATAATGTAAAAGGGTTCAAAATTAATTTTCTAAAGGAGGGCATCTTTGCAATTTCAAGAATTGAAGGGCTCTATTTGTAATTTTGAATCTTGGGTCAATTTGTAAATTTCAAAATTGTTTTGAATTTCAATTTTAAAACTGTTTTAAATTTATATTTTAATGGGTTTGACCTATATTTTTAATTTTGACCCAAATTAAAATTTTATTTAAAATTGACGACTTTTTATATTTTCGTTAAAATATGATTTTAACTTAAATATTAAATTTGACCCTAAATTGAATTTTATTTTATTAATTCAACTTTAAATTAGAGCTTGACTCTAATTTAATACTTGATTAAAAATTGATTTTAATTAATTATTCACCCTAAAATGTTCTTGAAATTAGAATTGGATTCTAATTTGTAGTTTAATTAAAATTTGTTTCGCCCTAAATTTTTTCTTGAAATTAGAGTTGGACTTTAATATGTTGTTCAATTAAAATTTGATTTTAATTAAATAAATTCGCCCTAAATCTTGAAATTAGAATTAGACTCTAATTTTGCTATTTAATTAAAATTAGATTTTGATTAAATTCAATGCCCTTAAGTTTTGAAATTATAGTTGGACTCTAATTTGATATTTAACTAAAATTTGATTTTAATTAAATAATCTCACCCTATAATTGTAGAATCAGAGTTGGACTTTAATTCGGTATTTAATTAAAATTGGATTTTAATTAAACTTGACCGCTAATTAAATACTTGATTAATATAATTATTTAATTGTTCCAATCCATTTGTCTAAAAGAGTTTAGACGATCTTAATTGCTAGAAACTTGAAACGTATTTGTATATAATATTAGATATTATATAGGCATATATTTATGTGATGAATGTATTATTAGTAAACGATTATGAACTCGACCATACGGATGTGTTGAATGGTTAATTTTATTCTTATCGTTTTATGAACCTGCGAGTTCTTAATTGTTTTGGGCCTGCGAGCCCGTTATTATTATTATTATGGGCATGCGAGCTCTTAATTATTTTGGACCTGCGAGTCCATTATTGTTATTCTTATATGGGCCCGCGAGTCCAATTTTATCTAGATTTGCGTGCCAACTAGTATATGATATATGTTGCAATTGGACTGATTAAGAAAACAAGAAGAGGAAGAGACCATAGAGATGGTGCATTGATACCGATCAATACAAAACCCTCAGGAATTAACCAACTAATCTTCCTTATGGCTCGAGAAGATTAGATAGTAAAAGTTCATAATCGTCCACACTACTACTATTATTATTATTATTATTATTATTATTATTATTATTATTATTATTATTATTATTATTATTATATATGTTTATTTTCATGTTTAATGCGTAATAAAATTATATATATGATTATATCGATGTTGATGAGATTTTTGAATGCAAAACCCCTCAATAAAATATTAAGTCAATTTATTATTCTCCTTCCATCATTATAGTGAAAAATCAAAGTCCCAAATCGTCTCAACTTGTTGAGTACACTCAAGGCTGGTTTATTAGAGACATGTTTGACACTATGAAATATTAGATATTTTTGAATGATGGTTTCGACTTAACTAAAATTTATCTTTTGTTCAGTACACTCGAGGAGATATATTTTAGAGGCATGTTAAACTAACATATAAGATGTGTGAAGACAAAGAGTTATCAACTTAACGATCTGAGAATTGTATGGAGATACAATTGATAATAGTAACTACCCAAATGTTCTATTAAGGCTTGTTGAGTAAACTCGAGGTCTTGGTATAACAGATAGGATCCTAGTCTACTGGGAGTCAAGTATGGATTTCATAAATTTATGTGAGAGGGTTATAAATTTTAATTAAACAATGGGAGCATAATTAATTTAATAAAAGTCCATATTAAATTAATTGATGCATTTTATATATTATATTTTTTTTTCTTTTCGTCATTTTTATTTATTGAATCGTGAGCAACCATGTGTCTTCGAGTGCATACTAGATACCAACAGTCAAATTGAATTTTCTTGATTGGCACCGCCAGTTGAGAATTGTTCTCAAGCATGAGAAAATTGGTTATGTCATTAAGTAGCCCTTTCTAGAGACACCCACTCATGACTCGATTAAGGAAGAGGTGAATACTGTAATAAACACAGTGATGACGATAGTACTTCACATATATGATGTTTACAACTATGTCACCTGAGTTACAAAAGCAAATTGAGAGTATAGATGCTAGCATATGATTTTTCATTTCAAAGAATTGTATGATAATAATCATGTGTAGAATGATATGAGACTTTCAAACAACTATATCGATGCAAAATGACAGAGCAATCTTCGATCGATGCTCGTGCACTAAAGATGATTGTCATTAAGAGATGGTCTCAATGAGGTTCAGTCATGAACTACGAACTAAGTATTAACTTAGTTCTGCAATTTCTGTCAGAGAGTTATTCATACTAATTATAAATTATGATATGAATAATTTCAAATGCACACCCATTGAGTTGCTTAACATGCTTAGGACTGTTATGCCCAATAATAAAGTTAGAAGTGGGCAAACAATTGATTCCTCTAAGGGTATTAAGAGGAAGTCTAAAGTGGCTTTGGGAAAAGCATCTAATATGGCCGAGATCGTCAAAGTAAAGGACAAATACTAAGTCTAATGATTATTATTTTCGTTATAGAACTACTTCACAAGCTTCTTAGGTATTTGATACCAGATGTGGATCTCATATTTATATAAATATGGAAAAACTACATAGAAATAAACTACTGTAAAAGGGAGAAGTTGACCTATATGTTGAAAATAAATTAAGGTTGCTACATTGCAGGTAAGAGCATACTTCTTGTTATTGCCTTTAAGCTTAGTATTGAAATTAGAGAAATGTTACTTTGTACCCACCATATCTGGAACATTAAATAAATTTCATGTTTGGACATGAAGGTAGTGTTTGATTGGAGGTGAAATTTCATGGAAAATGGAATTAGAATTCCA